TTTTCCTTCTTCGTCTCCTCCGCCTCCTTTTCTGTTTCCTCCGCTTACGTGAAGGAACAGGAGGAGCCCGAGAGCATGACGCCGACTTGGAGATGTCCGATATGCAGGAGGGTGAGTCAGAAGCCTCCCGCTCCTCTTCCTGCTCCATGCTCCACTGTCACTTCTATCGCCTCTCCCATACTCTCCTGCTCCTGCTCCTGCTCCTGCTCTTGCTCCTGCTCCTGCTCCTGCTCCTTCTCCTGCTCCTGCTCCTGCTCCTTCTTTTCCTGCTCCTTCTTTTCCTCCTACTTATGTGGATCTTCTTCCTCCAGGTCTGCTGCTGTGCCACTCAGTCCTGCAGTAAAGTTCATCGACATTGCAAGGTGAGATGCTGCAACTTCATCCTCCTCCTCCCTCCACCTCATCCCTTGCTCTTCCTGAATTTTCTGCTGCTGCTGCTGCTGCTGCTGCTGCTGCTGCTGCTGCTCCTACTCCTCCTCCTCCTACTCCTCCTCCTACTCCTTTTCCTCCTCCTTTTCTGAACATCATCAAAGGCATATCGCTACCGGCAACGACGTGCAGAGCTTGCGGCCAAGAAAACCTCTGTTGGTGGCTTTGAAGACATCGGGGGCTATGGAGAGGAAGGTGGAGGAGGAGGAGGAGGAGGAGGAGGAGGGAAAGGCTTCAGCAGCAGCAGCAGCAGCAGCAGAAGGGCGTGATGCATGAGCTGTGCGAGGAGGAGAAGAATTGCAAGATGCCGCGAGGAAGCCTGGAGGAACAGATCCACAACTCCAATTGAGGAGGAGGAGAGAGAAGAAGTGGGATGGGGAGAAGGGAGGAGGAGGAGGAGGAGGAGGAGGAGGAGGAGGAGGAAGAGGAGGAGGCGAGGGTGTGAAACTAAGTATGAATGTATTCTTTCTATTCTTTGGTTAAAGCTGATCGAGACGGTGAGGGGTAGTGACTTACGTGAGCATTTTCTTAATTCGTGAACAATAAAGATAAGTGAGTAAAGCTTTGACGTGTCAAAAGGACAAGACAAGACCAGACTAGACAAGAACAAGAACAAGAACAAGACAAGTCAAGACTAGACAACAACAAGACAAGACAAGACAGATCGAGGCAAGCAGTTCAAACTATCAGCTCGTTGACAAATCTTTCAATCTTCCTCACATCTTCGTCGTCCTGTAGCAAAGAGCACTCAGGGACAACTGAAACGTGACATGTCGTCCTCACCTCCCCGTATCTTCTCTTCATCATCTTGACGTACCTCGTGACGTCTTCCGCCTCTTCCCTCCATTCCTTCATCTCGCTCCTCATCAGATTCTCTGCTGCGCTGAATGCCAACCTCGTGCAGGAGAAGACCGCCCTCTCGCCGCCCTCCCTCCTCCCTCCTCCCTCCTCCCCTCCCCTCTTGCTGTTCACTCCCGTCTCCTCCTTGCTGCACTCCCTCCCCTCCTCCCACTTCTCCTCCAGCTCCTCCCTCACTCGGATCGCCAGGAAGAAACTCCGGGCAGCGCGTCCTCGGCAATCTCGGGAGGAAAGCAGGAAGGGAGCCACAAAGTCTTCCCGCTTCTCCATCCTATGTGCATACGAGGACCAGACTTTTGCCAGCAGCTCCTGTCCCTGCGCCACGAGGAAGTGGGAGGGAGACAGTTTCCCTTGGGCCTCCTTCACCATCTCCTCCAGCTCTCGCGGGTCAGGAAGCTGCCTATCGAAGTCTCTGCACTTGCCGAGGAACTGAAGCATCCTCCTCCCCGCCTCCTCCTCCCACTCGACCAGATCTCTGACTGAATCCCCTCCGCCCTCCCCCTCACACCGGCAGGCCGTCCACTTTTCCCTCTCCACCACCCCACCCGCGCTCCCAGCCTCCTCCTCCTCCTTCGCCGCCGTCTCAGGCAGCGGATATCGGATGATGCCGCAAGCAGGGCATCGGATCCCTCTGACATCGTCGACCCCTTCACACCTCGCACAGGAGCAAAGGAAATCCTTTCCCCTCATCCTTTCCCTCCGCTCCTCTCTGCTCATTACGTCACCGTCCTCCCCGAGATAAGAGAAGGTCACTTCCTCTCCTCGCTCGATCCTCCTCATCGCTATCAGCCGCAGCTTCCCGTCCTCCGTCTGCGAGGAGAACATCACGTTGGGTCGGCAGCTATGGTTCACTTTAGCGCAGCGCGGGAACAGCGCAAGGCGATCCGCTCCGACGCTCGTTCCCTCCTCGTACCCGCTGGCCCTCCTCCCGTAGAAAGGGAAGCAGTTAGTGTCCTTGATGATCAGCAGCCTGTGGACATCCTCTTCCTCCCACCCAGCTGCTTCCATCCTCTCCCGCATGCTGTCGTACACCTCCTCCGCTGCCGCACGAAGTCGAGCTATCCTCTCCGTCTTGGCATCAGTCGGCAAGTGAGCGAGCTGCAAGATAGCCTCCCTCTCCTCCTCCCCTCCCTCGAGAAACTTGAGGACGAAGGAGGAGTCCGAGTTGGCAGGCCATACCAAGGAGGCAGCCTCTGCTAGCACTTCTTCCCCGACCTCGTAGTTCCGATCCGCAACGGTGATCCGCCCACGAGCTGAGTGCGTGTCGATCACCACAGGCTCTGCCCTAAGATTGCTGACAAACAGGAGGAGAAGGACGGAGGAGACAAGTAGGAGGTGGGTGAGCGAAGCTACGGGCAGCATCTGTTCCAATTGAGCTCAACTGAAACCATCGAGCCCCACGAATCCCATTACTGCTTCTTCTCCCTCCCAGCAGAATCTTTCTCCCTCGTCTTTCTTCCCATGATCCTCGTCGAGTCTACCCAAGGACGCCAACTCTCAGCTCCGGTTGGGCTACTGTTCGACTCCACTGCTGCTCTCCGCCATTTTGTTCGCACAACCACTACTACTACTGTTCCCCCTGCTGAACAGCAGTGTAACATTTTTTTTAAAAAAAAAATGTGTAAAGGTAAAAAAGAATATTTGTTTTGTCCACTTGTGAACGGTGGGTCTTACATCGCTACTGCACTTTGAACCGGTTCCTAGAAATTACAGAAATATTTGAACTTTTATCTATAATGTTGAAAATTTATGCTAAAAATCAATACATTCACTCAAAATTTTCAAATGTTCGTTCTCTTCTATATCGGAGGACCCTATGCACCGTAGGACCCTACCCATGCAAAGAATCTTGAGAGAACCCCTACCCCAACTTCCTCCCTTGCAAGTACTACCCCTACCCCTCAATATTTCTCCGAATACCCACCTGTAAATAGAAGGATCGCTTATCCTAACCCACCACCCCATCCTGATCGGCTACAGTACCCCCTGGTCTGGAATCTCTAAAACTACCCCCACCCCCTCGGGATTCCCCGAGTTTGCATGTGACCCAATGGAGATCGCGGAAGACATGGGAGGAAACGAAATGCGAACAATGGCGCGAGGAGGGAGAGGAGACGCGAAGAGTGCAGGGAGAAGAGGAGGAGACGAGGAAGGTGGAGCTGGTGACTGGATAGAGTGGAGCGAGGAGAGTATGAGGGGAGAGGGGCAAGGCAATGTCCACGGAGTGGGGAAGGGAGTAGGAGGGGCTTCGGGGATGGTAGGGACCGCAAGGGAGAAAGAACGAGGGTATCGTTGTCAGAAGTTTGATATCTTACTTCTCTCTTGAAGTTTTCATGCATTGATCTTGATCTCACTGTCTATCTCAGGCGTTCTCTGCTTCTGGGGTCGACGGGCAGTGGGTGCACGAGCTGCGGTGTGGAGCTAGAGGAAGTGATCGATGGATGCGACATTGGAGTTCGAGTATCACTCGATTGCGATGAACACCATGACCATCGCTCGCGTCCCCGTGTCCAGTCCTCCATCGCACGCCCCCGACGTGAAGCGGAGCTCCTTCAAGGGGGAGTTAGCAGGGAAAGGCAACGCCACGACCGAAGCGGTGGTCGGGTTGCTGGCTGGGATGGTTTACGGAGCGACTTCTCCTCTCGCGGGACATCCTTTCGACACCGTGAAGACGAAGATGCAGGCGCAGGCGTCTCACCGCAACTGCACGTCGATGGATGTTGTTCGTTATGTGTACAAAACAGAAGGTGTCAAGGGATTTTACCGCGGTCTCGTCCCGGCCTTGACCGGTGGCTCCATCTTTGGTGGGATCGTGCTGGGTGCGTACGGGGGCACTTTTGCAGCGTGCGAAGGAACGATCCTGGCTGAGCCCATACCTGGGACAGGAGGGTTGCGAGGGGCAGTGGTGGCTGGGGGGATAGTATCTGCAGCGTCGAGGAGTGTGATAGAAACTCCTCTGGCTCTGATCAAGATCAGGAGGCAGACCGGACAGTCTTGGCTCATCTCTCCTCAGAGCCAGCACACCCTTGTCAACGCTGGGCTGCAGGTGAAGGAGCTGTACAAGGGCATGGGGCCCACGTTTTGGCGGTCGACCTTCATGCTCGGAACTTTCTTCATCCTCAATGACTATGCCGTTCGCCTCATCCCTGACGTTGTGAACGCTCCTGTCGTGGGCCCGTTCGTGAAGGGAGGAGTGTGTGCGACCATCGGATGGCTGCTGGCATGGCCGATCGAGGTCGTCAAGTCGCGGGTACAGGCAGACAGGACCAGCAACTACGGGAACAAGACCACGATCAGGCTGATCCGAGAGATCGTCAAGGAGGAAGGGTTGGCAAGAACGTTTCGAGGCATCGGGCCCGGGATCTGCAAGTCGTTTGTGTCCAACGGAGCAGCGATGTTCATGTTTCACTTCCTGCATGAGTTCATGGAGAAGGATGAGAGTAGCAGCTAAGATGGCGTGGAGCAGGCGCGGAAGAGAGAGAAGGAGCAGGATAGCAGGGGAGACTGAGTGTTGTGTTGTGTATTATATCGTTGGTCATGCTCTTCATCAGGCTGTGGTGGAGCAGAGAAAATCTCGAAAGCCCGTTCGAGGAGAAGTGATGAGATTTCTCGTCCTCAATATGCTCTCCCGCATTGGCAACGACTCTCCTCTTCTTCCTCTTCCGTCCCCTCCTCCTTCTCCTACTCCTACCGCTGCACCTACACCCGCTCCTCCTCCTCCTCCTCCTGTAGCTTGTCCTGCCTCTGCTCCTGCCCCTAGCCGTCTTACTCCTTCTCCCGCCCAGTTCCCTCTTAGTCCTGCTCCCCGACCTGCGCACTCGGGAATCGACGCTGTGCAGCCGTCAGCGGAAGGCCAGCGGTTACGGGAGTCGTTACCTCTCGAAGACGGCTGGGTCAACCTCCAGCCACCTCCCAGCTCACCATCACCTCGAGAGTGGATGACGTCACCTGTACCAGCGGATGTTCGGCCATAATCTCCCTTTGCTCGCTCGGGCCTTCCTGCTCCTGCTCCTGCTCCTGCTCCTGCTCCTGCTCCTGCTCCTGCTCCTGCTCCTGCTCCTGCTCCTGCTCCTCTTCCTCCTCCTCCTCCCTTATCATTCGTTTCATTGCGCACGTCGGCCCTCTCATTCTCTTGCGCGTGGAAGAAGTAGGTGAAAAACACCGCTCGAGCCCGCCTCGCATCGTAACCACCTGATACGCCCAGCTCAACCCCAGCTGGGGTCCGAACGATCCCACCTGACAGGCCCATGGAGGTTCGAGGGGATGGCAGGCGGGGGTGAGCTGGACGCGAGCTGGGGGAGGTCGAAGGAACGTAATGGTCGGTAATCAGAAACCTGTAGGGGATGTCATGTTTACTCTCCTCCTCCTCCTCCTCCTCCTCCTCCTCCGCATCCTCCTCTACCACAGCCATCTCCTCCTTATCAGCCTTGGCTCCTTGCAGTCTTGTCGTCACGTTTCTCTCTTACCATCCAGGGAAGAAGGACGAAGATGACGTTTCTTTGCCTGCTGCTTTCTGGCCCATCCCAAACATCGTAGAAGATGCTTTGTGGAGCTGAGAGGAGGAGGAATGGTCTGCTCGAAGCAGGCAGCTCTCGCCCTCTTTCCTCTTGCCCCTCAACTTCTTGAGCCGCCGGAAAATCTTTCTCTTTGTGCTCTGCAAGAGAGGGGAGGAAGTCACGGCGACCGAGAGACTCGAGTAGCAGATCTTACTTTGTTCCTCTTCGCCATCATGCAGAACCCAACGAACCTTGCTCTCTTCACGCGGTACACAACCTCCTGTAGCAAGCAGACATGCTCACTAACATGCTCGCAAACCCTCCAACGTCACTCTCACCCCCCACTCGTGGAGCATCCTCTTCAGCGTCCTCCTGCGTGAGCCATCAGGAGAGCAGCTCAGCCTCCTCCTCACGACCTCTCTCTCATGGTCGTCAGCTCTGCTCCGCTCAGGGTCCACCTGCTCCACTTCGATGACCTGTGGCTCCTGCACAAGGTGAGTCAGTGACTACCGTCTTCCCTGCTACTACCTCGATGAGCTACCGCTGATGTCGCACGGCGACTCCTCGACCAGCGTCAGGCTGCCAACGCTGCCATCGGTCAGCTGAGAGAAACGGGAAGAACAACAAGAGGAAGAGAAGGAGGAGAAGGAGAAAGGCGGCGGCGGCGGCGGCGGCGGCAGAGGAGGAGGAGGTGGTGGTAGTGGATTAGGAGGAGGGAGGTGGTGGTGGTGGTGGAAGAGGAGGAGGAGGAGGATGAGGAGGAGGTGGTGGTGGTGGAAGAAGAGGAGGAGGGATTTTACCTGACTGTCGCTGACTGTTTGAGATGAAGTTTGAACTGTTGTTCCCTCTGATACTGCAGCGTGCGATAAGTCGAGGGAGTGAGAGGAGACGAGATGAGAACAGCCAAGTCCACAGATGATGGAAGAGAAGCAGGGAGGAGAAGAACACATGAGAATATGGAGATTGATGAAAGGAAAGGAAGAAATGCAGGGAGAGGTGAAGGAGGAGGAGGTTAGAGAGAAGGAGGAGGAAGAGAAGGAGGAGGTGGTGGTGAAGGAGGAGGAAGTGAAGGAGGTGGTGGTGGTGAAGGAGGAGAAGGAGAAGGTGGTAGTGGTTGTGGAGGAGGAGCTAGGAGTGAAACCTGAGCTTCAAGTTGTCTCAGCAGCTCCCCGATCTTCTCACGCACACTCTTGCCGGACTCTCCATCCTTCCCAGCAGCAGGAGATCGATCTCTCCTCCCTCCCTCCTGCTCCCTCGAGACTTGACAGTGTTCTCCCATAGCCAAACGCCCGTCCAAACTTGTCCTGGTCCACCAGCTGGTAGCAATTCTAGGTCTTGTGTTGCGGATGGAGATATCTGCTGATTCATAGACGAAGATTCCGCATGTGGCGAGGCCGGGCTGTCATTGCTCAGCCTCTTCGGGTCTCCTTCATCCTCTTGCCCTCTCCTTCCAGACATCGAGACTTCCTAGTGAGTGAGTGAGTGAGTGAGTGAGTGAGTGAGTGAGTGAGTGAGTGAGTGAGTGAGTGAGTGAGTGAGTGAGTGAGTGAGTGAGTGAGTGAGTGAGTGAGTGAGTGAGTGAGGGAGGGAGGGAGGGAAAATCGTGGCTGCCTACTCGCTCAGCTGGACTCCTCCTCGGCTGCGCGACAGGAGCGCTCTTGCGATGATAGTCAGTGATCCCCTGGACCACCCAAGGGTGAGACGACGGCATTCCCCATGGGCAGGGGGTACCTGCTCAACTAGAGCCCAGCAGAACAGCCTGTTGGCATCGAGGTCGTCCTCGCCCGATGAAGTTTCGCTATGCGGATCAGACGCGACCTCACTCTTCCTCCGGCTGTATTGTATCTCGGGCTCAATGCCAGTGGGAACCCTTGGAAACAAGTACTTGATGTGTTGCCTGCCATCCCCACATTTCAGAGAAGAATGTACACATCCCATAACAACGCAACACAGCACAGCACAACACAACACAACACACACACAACACAACACGTCATTTCAGATGTCGTCTCGTCTCGTCTCGTCTCGTCCCGTCTCGTCTCGTCTCCTCTCATGATACACCTGAGATCTTGCTGATACGCATCGTGAGCTTGACTGGCCCACAACCTCAACTTGGCTCGATCCCCCATCCTGCACAACGACCGTCATGGAAGAGAGGCACCATCGTTGCCCCCCCATATGATTCTCACCTTCGCACGCCCATACTCTGCAGCATCTCTTCAGTCTCTTGAGAGAACTCAACTAGATCTTCACTTCTGATCCCTACATCGCACGTTCACCCACCATGGCACACGAGCTTCTCACCTTTCTGAGCAAACGATGTCATGCACTCTTCTAAGCCCAAGGTCATCAGCCATCTGTGCACCCGAGCGCTGAGCAGAAGCTCTTCCACCTCCTGTGGCGAGCCTAGACCAGCATCCCCTGCCCTCTTGTCAACTAGGATACTTCGAGATTTCCTCTACCCCTCCTCGTCCTCCCCGTTTTCTCTCCTCCTCCTCCTCCTCCTCCTCCTCTCACCATGATGGTGGTTTACTTTCGGTCGCATGTTGAGCTTTGGGATCGTCAGTCTTGGGTTCTCATCCCTCATTTCTTCTCTGCCGTCGCTCATGCCGTTTGCTCGCGGGGCCTTCCACCCTACCTCGCTTCCAGTCGCTTCTGCTTGCTCCTCCTCCTCTTCTTCTCTCTCCCTCTCCTCCTCCTCTCCTCCTCCTCCTCTCCTCCTCCTCCCCACCTTCTCCTCCTCTCCTCCTTCCTCCTTTCCAGGTACCAATCTCAAGACGTCTTTTCTATGATCTCCTGCTCCCTTCTCCCTCCCCGCCGACCTCAACCCCGCATCATTCCGAGTTGATTTTTTTTTAAAGCCCAGTCAAGAGAGGAGAGGAACAACAACTACTAGCGGTTTTCGCTGCCTCCTTCGTCTCCTAGTATTTTATTGAGGCGGGTTTGTAGGCATTATCCTCGTCCTCCTTTGTTTGCTCCGGTTTGCCTTTCTTTTTCAGTCAATAAAGCAAATTGTTTACTAGCTAGCAGAGCAGACGAGACCCCGGCCGAGAGATCCGAGGGCAGAAGCAATCCGCCTGCTGTGGTAGGAGGACCTTGACGGACGAACACCTTTGATCTGCCGTGTTGTAGCTTCTCTCTCGTCCTACGTTCAGCGTGTCTACGGCAGGGCAATGCAGTAACCAAAGAGATCGCATTTCTCCTCACTGCCGGTTCTTCTTCTACAAGTTCCTCTCAGACATCAATCTTGAACATGTTGCAGCTCCTCCACTCACCTTGATCTTCTTGCTCGCCTGCTGCCCTTGCCCGAACCCTCTCTTCGGGCCAGCGCCAGCCGAGCTTGCCTTGCTCGACCCCAGCTCTTGCTCAAGCTCTTGCGACTTGATCTCCATCAGCTTGACCGCAGTTGCCAGCACCCGCCTCTCCTCTGCCACTCGAGCCATCAACTCATTCATCATCAGCACAGACCCTGCTTACCTCGTTGCACTTCTTCAGCCATCCGCGCACGCCTAGACAAGTCAGGTGGAGGAGTCTGCTTGCCGGCGTCTCCTCCAAACATCTGCTCGTACACCTACCTCAAGGTCAGGAGCGGCAGGAGGATACGATCGCGTTCAGCACCTGAGATAGCAACCAGCTTGTCCACCTCACCGCTCTTATCTCATTGTCAATGTCTAGCAGCAAGTCAGCATGCGGGCCATAGGTAGACCGCGGTTGACCTATTCTCCCACATGCCTCGTCGGATGTCGACAGGCAGACTGTTGCGAGCTCCTCGCCAGAGCACAAGCACATGATCTTTGATACCAGCATCATCGGAACCGGCAGGCCTTCCTTGCGGATAAGCATCGGCTCAGCCCCGAGGTTGATATCGAACTTGAGATCGCCTGCTGCTGACCGGTCAGCATCTGCTGCTAGTGGAAGGGGAGGAACCAGTCTCGATGACCTCCAGCTGTTGAAGCAGTGATCGCTTCCTCTCCATCAACTCCTTCGTCACCCCAGCTCGGTCCTTGCTGAGCGACTGTAGAGAGGTCTCGAAGATCGACGAGGGGAGGGAGAACCCGATCCTCGAGTCTCCGTGCAACGGAGGAGAGGGGACGAAGCCGTAGCGCAAGAGGAGCTCCTCATTCGTCAGTTGGCCATAAGTCCAGCTGACTTCACTGCCAGCTGGGATGGCTCGAGTGGCTGTGAACTCAAAGTGATCGCCCACCACCGAGCCGCGAACTGAAGGGCCCCTGTGTACGTCCGCCTGCCGCAGCAGGTCGCTTGCTGGGGGAGGCACAGCCGAAGGCTCATGATTGAACATGTCGGCGAGCGGGAAGCAGTATCGCTCCAACGTCTCAGGCACATCCTGCCCTGAGCTTCCTTTCACCACCTTCTCCCTCAGCGCTCGGGATTTCACCATCGCGTACCCCCACTTGACGTCCTCATCGTCCACCTGCACCTGGAGGGCTTCCGTTACCTTGCGGATCTTGCTCGAGTAGTCCTCGTACTCCTCTCTCATCGCCTCCACCAGCGTCATCGTCATCCTCGGCAGCGTCTGCAGCTCTGCTGAGTCCCAGAAGATGGGAAGGTCCGGCTTCTCAAGGGGCAGCGAGCGAACGTATTCCGAGAAAGGGAACGAACCCTCTTTCTTTCTCGAGCTAGCGAGGTAGAGGGTCAGGAGCAGGTCGTCAGCAAGCCTTCCCTCGCTTGCTTCCAGCGCCTGAACCCCCTCGGCTAAGCTCGAGGACTGTCGTATAAAGTCGCCTGAGATCCGAAATGAAGCGGAATTCGCTAGTCTCATCACCACCTCTCCCTCCTCCACTTGCTCCAATGCCCAGATTCCTCGTATCGCATCCCCTTGTTCAGCGGCACCCCTCGTTCCCAGCTCAACTTTTCGCTGATGTAGCAGCCCTGCTCCTCCGCCCATCTCTGTAGACTCACACTCTGCCGATCCTGACCCTCACTCACGCTAGCATCCTTGGCAGCAAAAGTCCTCACCATGCCATCTCTTCTCTTGCCGTACACGCCATCCAGCCCAAAGTGAGGAGACAGAGCAGCATGACATCGTCGACCACTGGGAGGCAAGCCTGCAATCCCTGTAGCCAGCAAGGAAACAGAGCGGGAAGAGCGAGTCCGCTGTGTGGGGCAGAGGCGAGAATGACGCAAAGGCACAGGGAGGAAAGAGGGGAGGGGAATGAAGGAAGGAAGAGAGGGAGAGAGAGGAGGGAGGGAGGGAAGGGGAGAGGAGGGAGGGAGGGAGGGAAGGGGAGAGGAGGGAGGGAGGGAGGGAAGGGGAGAGGAGGGAGGGACCAGGAAGCAGAGTAACGCTAGTGCACCTGCGACTGGCCGCATGTTGGTGGGGCTCGTCCCCTCACTGACCATTGACATGACTACGCGGGGATGTGGACCAATTACCAGCACGTGCGGTAGGGCATGAATGCAGCGCTGAGGAGGGAGGGAGGAAAGGAGAGACGACGAGGCGAAGGAGCGAAGGGGGAGGAGGAGAGGAGGAGAGGGAGGAAGAGAAAAGAAGAGGAAGAGGTCTGAGGAAGAGCATGGAGAGAGTCCGCAAGGGAGTGGTGAGGGGGGGGAGCGGAAGAGAAACAAACACAGACTTGTTCGATTTGGAGTTGTTTGTGACAAGTTGCTCAGGTATAATGCCGTCTGGAGGTCGCTCGACGGGGAGGAGAGCAAAGCTTGGAGGACTTGGAGGATCTCTCGGTGCGTCGATCCGGAACGAGAGGTTCGAGCGGTTTGCAAAGACGCACACAAAGTGAGTGAAGGAGGAAGAGAGTTGCTGATATGGCGCCTGATGGCTTTTGCAACAGAGAGATCCTTGAGACTGACATCCCCAAGAACGCTCATCTTGTCCCTGAATGGGAGAAACTCACGGAGGAGGCTGTGGAGCGCCAACGGGAGCTCCAGACCTCCGTGGTCGACGAGAACGACCTAACGGCCCTGCTCCGCCTGGCCGAGTTGTCGGATCGAGACTTTACAGCTGAGCGGCAGAATGCAAGGGTCGTCATGTCTGGTCCCACGTGCATCACACAAGACAGCAAGGAGCAGCTGCCAGAGGACCTCCGGCAGCTGCCGATCCCGATGCGGCCATCATGGAACAAGAAGATGCGGAAGGAGCAGGTGGAGGCGAACGAGAAGGAGGCGTTCCTGGAGTGGAGGAGAGAGCTGGCGCGCATCGAGGAGAACTTCGACGTGATTCTGACACCGTTCGAGAAGAACCTGGAGTTCTGGAGGCAGCTGTGGAGAGTCGTTGAGAAGAGCGACGTGGTTGTACAGGTGGTAGACGCCAGAAACCCTCTCCTGTATCGCAGCCCCAGTCTTGAAGGCTACGTGAAGAGCGTGGGAGAGTGGAAGACCAACGTCATCCTCTTCAACAAGGCCGACCTCCTTCCTCACCGTGTTCGAGTGGCATGGGGGCAGTATTTTGACAAGATGGACGTCAAGTACTTCTTCTTCGCCGCAAAGACGCAGATCGAGGCAAGGTTGAAAGAGCAGAAGCAGAGCTCGATCCCGGAGGACGGTGAGTACGAGGAGGAGTCTGCTGAGGAGGAGGTGGAGTACAAGGAAGACTTTGAGCAAGACTGCATGCTGGGAGAGGAGGTGGAAGCGGACATCAACTCGGACCACAAGACGAGGGTGATGAACGCGGAGGAGCTGCTGGATGCTCTTGAGTTTCTGGGAAGGGAGAGTGTGGAGAAGGGAGGAAGGCAAGTCTGCCAGGACGTGCGTGACGACGAGAGGATGTCTCAGCTGTCGGGGATGTCGGGGATGTCGGGGATGTCGACCGGCTCTCGCAGCCAGCTGGACTACATCATGATTGGATTCGTGGGCTACCCCAACGTCGGCAAGAGCTCGACTATCAACGCGCTGCTGGGGCAGAAGCGAGTCGGAGTGACTTCTACCCCCGGAAAGACGAAACACTTTCAGACCCTCATCGTCTCAGACTCCCTCATGCTGTGCGACTGCCCCGGCCTAGTCTTCCCTTCCGTCGTCTCGTCCCGCGCAGAGATGGTGAGCAGAGGGGGAGGAGGACAGTTGAGGGCGCACGATGAGACTTGGGATATGGGAGAGGAAGGAGCAGAAAGGGAAGAGGGCTCGGCTTCCAGCGCAGTGACCTAGGCTGCAGGTTTGCGGAGGAATCCTCCCTCTCAACTCGCTCAAGGATCATATCTCACCCATGGAGCTCGTGAGCAGGAGAATCCCACGAATCGTCTTTGAGGAGGTGAGAGAGGAGGACGACGAGGAGGAGACAAGGTCCGTGCTGATGCTTCTGCAGTGCTACAACATCGTCCTCCCCTCCAAGACGGCGACGGGAGCAGAACGCCAGTACATCACATGGACGGTGAGTGCGCGAGCGAGCGAAAGGATTGATCGCTGCCAGTCTGGATGAAGTTTCCATCTGTTCTGTTGTACAAAGGGCTCTGAATCTAGTTGAGGATAACAACAGTTGCCTTCCCTGGCGGGTTGGTCTGACAGACATTTAGCATAGATCCTCTTCCTGCTCCTCCTCATCCTCCTCCTCCTAACGTGTTGCTGCAGGAAGTTTGTCAAGGATATGCGGTGGCACGAGGACTGATCACGGGATGTGGAGGAGGAGTGCCTGACACGCATACTGCTGCTCGCAAGATCTTGAGGGTGAGAAGGAGCAGAGAGAGAGGAGAAGGGAAGGAGGAAGGGAGGGAAGGATGATGGGGAGGCTCTAAGGAAGTGGAGATGGGAGCGAGGAGGGGCAAGAGCTTGCTCTGACGCGTCTCTCTGTCAGGACTACGTGGACGGCAGATTGAGGTTCTGCCACACGCCCCCTGGCCAGCAGGACGTCGCACTTGGTCCACTCCCGCACGCTCAGGAGGAGGACGGAGAGCTGGAGGAGGGAGGAGAAGCTCGGTCGGAGGCTGCACCCTCCTCCTACGCTCATTCGATGGCTTCTTCGCACGCGTTGGAGGAGCACGATGCTGGTGTAGCCATCGGGCAGGTGAAGAAGAACAGGAGATCGAGACAAAACCGAGGACTGTCAGCAGGGGCCTGGGTTGAGGATGATGAGGCGAACATGATGAAGGTAAGCCCCTTCTGCTCCTGCTCCTCTCTCTCGCTCTCTATACTTGTCTGGCTGCTGGTAAGCATGGTCTTTCCAGGAGAAGCAGGAGGCCAAGGTTTTCGCAGCCGGAGGGAAGAAGAAAGGAGGGAAGGCAAACGCTTTCCTCCGCGTCGAGCGACCTTACAGCGCAGTTGCTGTCCGTCCCAAGTCTGCGATCCCAATGGCGTGAGGTGTGAATATGTAGATGAAGAGCTGTTTGGTGGTGTAAACTGTTGTACAAAAAGAATTTTCATCGGGAGAGCTTTCTTTGAGTCAATTTCCTGTCGTATCACACACACTAATCACGCGTCCTCTGTCAGTCCATGTCTTCCAAGCTCGTCGGGTTCCCTGTACCTCCTGCTGAAGTCCGTGAGCCAACAACCAGGAGCAGGAGACTAGGAGGGAGCAGTTGACATCACCTCCCTCATCTTGAGTTTGCTCGCTCTCCTCCTCCTCGATCGACTCGCTCTCCTGCTCGAGGTCAGAAACACCTCACGAGCGTGCCGACCTATCCTACTTCTCCAGGAGCAGGAACAGAGCCATCTGAGAAGTTGTCAGCAGGGACAACGGGCAAGAGAGAGGTCCCCTCTACACCTTCGTTGACGAGTATCCCCACGAAGCATTTTTCCATGATGAAGTCGATGTTGACCCACCTGGCCCATCCAACGTCACCCGATGGCCCGGAGCATGCCTCGACCTCACTTGTGATACTTGTCGAAGAGCTTCGTCCCGTCCCTGATATCACCAACTATCAGCCCCCCCCCCCCAAACACAGGCTGCAACATCGCATCTTCCTTACTTCCCAGCTGCCATCAGGATATACTTGGGCCCCCCCGGATGATATTCGAAGAAAGGTGTCATGTCGTACACTTTTCCCCTACAAGATCACAAACAGCTGTTCATACAGCAACAAGGTCTCGATGCCTGCTACCTGTACACACTCCAGCAATCCTCCCTCGTGTTGTGTTTCTTCACCTGTGCTCTCTTTCACTGCCTCAACACTCTACACCACACGACCACCTCCGACATCGTAACTCTCCTCAGCCTCTTCACGTTTGGCCGCAGATTCAACCAGTGCATCATGCTCCTGCCCTCGCCCACCGCCATCTTCCTCCTCACTTTTCCCGGCTCTGCTTCAGACATCTCCTCTCGTCCTCCACCTCGTATCCTCAGTCCGACACAAGAAACAGCCTCCAACGCGCGACTCTCTAACGAGATGCAAGCTCTTGCTCCTGCTTGCGAGTCCAGTCGAGGCCTGTCCTTGACAAGCGCTTCCAGCGATCCTTCTGCTGAACTTACCAACAGGGGGATAAGAGCGAGCAGGCAACGAACGATCGTCCTGGTATGTTGAAGGCTCCTGGTCTGATCTGCACCGATGAAGATCAGACCACAAAAACCCAAACGTGCAAAAAGTTTGGCACGACCACTTTGTATCCAGCTCTCCCTTCGATAGAAACTTCTCAATCACTCTTGTCACTGTGTCTTTCCCGCTTCCCTTTTTCCACCATCTCTCCCTTCCTCCCCTGCCCTTCCTCCCTCCCCCCCATCCCCCTTCCTCCCTTCTCCCTCCTCCTAGTTGCTGCATCGATGATGCTTGTATCTGCGACTCGAGTTCCAATCAGGTTCAGTGAAACTCAATTCTCAGTCTCACCCGATCTCCGGACCGGGGCCCGCTGTCCGAACCCCGGTCCCGGCCCGGAGGTGGCTCGGCCCTTGCTGACTGAGCGGTCCCTAATCAGATGAGTAAAAATTATATATGGCACCGTGACTGGCAGTCAGCTGTGCTTTATACCACCAGGAGAGCCGTAAAATGCCTTCGCAATTCAAAAAGAGTATTTTGGATTATACATCTCCTGATTGGTACTGTATGGCCCCCACTAAGAGTTACTGGAAGTGGCCTCCAATGGATCTTGGCACCAATCTCCTTGTAGTAAATAGCCTCAATTGTACCTATTTTTAAAAACAATGTGTAATACCATGACACCGGTGATAAATATTCTGAGATGGCTGGTCTCCAGGGGGTACTATTCATATTTCTTGAGTTTTTAATTTATATATGAACTAAATCTAAATCCTTTTTGATCCTCAAGTCCACGTCATCTTGTTTCTTTTCAACATATCCACCTACATTTGAAATAAAATTAATTTATTTGGACTTCATTTTTGAAATGAACCAGACGGACTCCCAACGCCCCTTTCCTTTGAAGAGGTCCTTACTCCTAGGTGGGGGTGCAAACCGTAAGGTGGGGTAAGGGTAATCAGGTCAGCAGAAGATCGGGGGGTTGGGTACCTTTTAACGTCTCAGGACCCATAAAAAGACTGATATAGTAACCGGTCTACATTTGTTTCTCCTGGGTTCCCCATTCATATTCATCCTGAGTAGGTAGGGTACTCTTCGTACCACCCTTCAGGTCATCGACTTCCAGTGCCCACCCACCCCCTTCGTAGCCTATACTCCCCTACTTTGACCTTGCCCCTGCTTGCACTCACCCACCCCCTTATCCAAAGAACTCACATTTCTGTCGTCAAAAACACCCGTACTGGTCCCCTCAAGTACCCCCTAATTCCATGTTCCTCTTCACTACCTTACCCCCTTTTACCTACATCTTTCCCCTGCCCACCGCGTTTTACCTTATCCTGTGTACCCTACCCCCTTAGGAAGTTTAGGTGCCTTTGAGAGGTTGGTACCAGCCGCCCCCCATTAGTACAAGATTCTTTGACAGCTAAAGTTTTCTATACCCTTGTTGTTGAACTCCAGTACAAAAAGTCCTTTACAACTTTGGTAGTTTATGGGGACCTGTGGTACCATAAATATAAAAATGTAACAGTAAGTATCATGAACAGTACAAAGTTTTAATAATAGTCCAAGCTCCCACCACGATATACATTGAGCCCCCCTCAGAGCAAGCTTTTCTGTCAATTTTCGTTTGAGGGGGCCGCGACTGCGTTATCTTTCAAAACCCCTTTGCTAATTTCCCTGTGGTCCTCCAAACTGGAATAAATATTGAATCTTCTTTGAATTGGGATCATAGGTGCAGTGTTTTATGAATAAGTTGATATGATATGAAGGGGTACATCACTGCTCTCAAGCCAGTGCTTGGATCCCTCCTTCAAAGGTTCAATTTTTGTTTGAAAATAACTCAAAAACTGCGCATTTGCTCCCTTTACCGGGAAGACTTGATATGAAGGGGCAGGGGCTAGGGCAAACTTTGAAGTTGGCGCTTATTTTGAGAAATTAAACAATAAATTCTAGCCAATCACAATTGGAATGGTGGCCGGGTTCTTTAGGGGGTAGGGGTCCCTTTCTTGACTACAAACAAGCGGACTTCGAGACTTAACGGGGGAACCCCACCCCCAACCAATATGATTTGCCCAATCTTCACCACCATATTTCAAATCTTGTCAAAATTCTCTGAATTATCGAATATTAGAGATATAATTTCACAAATTTGCTGTCAAATGGCTGGTCAGTTCCACCCTTTCGGAAAATACGTGCATCAGGTAAATTGACTATAAGATATGAAAGTTGACTATAAGGGTATAGCCGGATTGGCGGTTTTTTTAGAAGAAGCGGAGCGAAGAATGCATACACGAGCAAGTTGTCAGGAAGAACAAGGCGCTATGAGCTCGAAGTTGAGCAGGAGATGTGTATCTTCCATTGGTAGGCTAGAAGACATGGATTCGTGTCAGATGGAGCCCTGTGTTGAGGGATGGAGGTGATTGAGATGCCCCCGGTGTTGGTGTTAAGACCGGCAGATGGTCGGGTTTGGGGAAGTGTCGTAGGGACATGTGTGGAGGCTGTCGCGGGATAAACAGACGGGTGTTAAGTTTGCTCTGGGTAACTACTGAGATGAATCACTTCACTTTCTTTGTTGTGATGATCTTGCACTCTCACCCTTGGGATTGTACGCGTACGTATAGGCTGTACGGTACGTAGGCATGTCAGTACAAGTTTCTTATAGCGCTGAACAAGACTCATTATGATCAAACTGTTCACATTGTATCATCCGTGTTATGTTTTTTTCTAGTTTATTTCGAATTATATTTCTGTCAATCCTGTCTTGACGGTAGAAACTAAGATTTGCTGTCCAACTGAGATTGAAGAAAGCTGGGTCACTTACTTGTTCGTTTAGTTACTTCTTTTCCTTCTCAGTTGGAATGAAAAATTCTGTCTCCATTCATTGTGATGGACTTGTGATGGATCCGCCTTTGTGATAGTCTGATGCACCTATGTTGATTACAATGTTTTCATGAGATTTACTATAGCATTGTGTGATTTCTGGTGCTATTCATTCGAATCTCGTTGGTGTTTTAGCAGCATTTGCCAGCCAAGGGTTATTTGGTTCTCATGTATTGCAAATGCAAGTTCTCATTTAGCTTACTGAACCATAGATATCAATGATATCTGCAACTGACATGATTTCAGGCGGAACTACCTATTACTGGAGTGTAATCAAATTCTTTGTGCGCTGCAACGCAGTATAGCTCTGGAGGGCTCTTTCGATATCAAGATTTTTTTCTTGTTGAAAAGTTTGAAGTGTAGAAGATTTGCCTAGAAGAAATATCGCTTCATGTCTTCTCTGGCCTCGTCTCCGCCCAAGGGTGGCGGGTCGCAATCGTTGCAGAATTGGGCAAGGATGCAATCGTACTCCGAAGCACAGATTAGACAACAAATGCTCGAGAATTCACTGACGGGTACAATGCAACAAATGGACAGGTATGGTGAACCGATTCGAAAACTTGACCCGATTGATTTGTGTCTCACAAGGTATCCTCCCGAAATGAATGGGAGGCGGTTGGCAATGGAGGAAATGGGGATTGCTCACGGCAATGGGTTAAATTATCCTTATGGGATGGATATTGGTAGCTCATTGTCCTACAGAATGATGCAGGGAGGATATCCTGGTGAAGGCAAGTACATGCCACGTTCAGCACCGGTACCAAAAGAGATCTCCCTCTGATCAAAAATGAAATTTATTTGCAGTTCATGCCTGGTCAATATCCACCACAAATGCCACCAGGTATGATGCCACCTTGAATCAAGTACTGAATGTGAACTGATGGGTGACCTCAGGATACATGGCGAGAGAAAGGGATTTCCACCCCATGGACGATCAGTTCCATGATTTCGGGGACATGACCCTGCAGGTGCCTCGTTCACACCTGCTCCTGCTGTCCTCACGATCTGTTGTGAAGGGCCTGCCCAAGGGTGCTCGCGATCTGCCGTCAAGAATGAATGACGTTAGGCTAGCTCAAGCGCAAATGGCCCAAATGGACTTTCGTCATCGGCCCGGAGGTGATACCCACCCCGTAGACTTTGTGCGTCGTCTGAACAGAGAATTTTCCTTGTTGTCTCGTTTGCTTGTTGCAGATGCAACTGATATTCGTTTGATGCCTAATCAATCTGAAATGATGCGGGCGGATCAAGGTGCCGACACACTGTCACTTTTATAATATGATCTTGACTCTTTCTGCACTGTAGGTCCCATGAAAATGCACACTCCTTTCGCTGGCATGTATGCAAATTTGTCTGGTCACCCGGGTGTTCCATATGTGACTTCACAAGCTGCCTGTCAGATCATGGCGATCTAAAGAAATGACACCTGACTTGTCTTTGTGAAGGGATGCATGGGGGATTTGGTGCATTAGCTGGACGGTTTGACCTTCCGCAACGTACAAGTTCTTTACAAGCGGCGAAGCACAACAAGTACTGCCATTTCTGTCAGCATGTCAAGGTGAGGCTGAAAATTATCGGTCAACCCGTGCCTGACCCAACTTGCTCCTTCAGGTCCGTGCGAGCGGCATGCTGGCTTGCTGCAACAAGGATTGTACGAGGCGGTTCTGTGAACACTGTCTGAGCAAATCCATCGGTGATGACGTGAATCCTCAAACGAGCAACGCGTGGATAAAGTATGACCTGATTTCTTGAAACTGCTCAACTCATTTTGTTACGACTAGTGGTCAGTGGCACTGTCCGGTCTGCAGGAAATTGTGCTGCTGTGCAATAGGAGAGTGTGACAAGAATCATCGACATTGCAAAGCTTATCGTTACCGCGTTCGTAGAGCAGAGCAGGTGAGATTGCAAGGGTTCTTGTTTCTCGGTAACAAGAAGAATTGTTGCAGCAAGCCAACAAACGAGCTGTTACTGGTGCTGACTCTCCGGAATCGCCGAATGATGATGATAGGGACATGGAGGCTGAAGATCCAGTCAAAGTTGAAGTAGAAACAGAAACGAAAGCAACAAGCAGAGCGAGTAACAAGGACATTGTCGCAACTCCGCCGCAGCAAGTGCAAGCCCCACCCGTCTCAGCGGAGCCGATCAAACTTGAGAGCAGTGGGAGTGAGACCAAGGTTGATGAGCCTATGTTGTTGAAGGCGAGGCGAGCCCATGATGAGAAAGCGGAAGGAAGCACAACTCCCCAGAGCTTCGACTTCAACGATGTGCAGACAGTAGCGGATTCCTGGTTGAAGCTGTTGGAGGATGACGATGCAGAGGATGTCTCGTTTCTCTTCTCCGGGGAAAATGGTTATCGTCATCGAGAGGGGCTTCCAACGAATGCTGAGGACGTTTCCTTGTCCCGAGAGGACTCAAGAGAAGGGTTCGAGGACCTCGCAAGAATGGGGAAAGATAGTGTTCCTTTATCAGCAAGAAGTGCGCGAGAGCTGATGCTTCGTCATGGTACTTGACCTTGCGTGTCATCTGTTTGTGTTTGACTCGATTGCCTGCCAGAGAACAGCGACTCTCTGAATAGCCTGCTAGCAAATTCTCAGGGGCTCGACCAGAACATGCACCACACAAGTTCTACTGAATCTTTTGGGTCGATGATGGCAGCAACGACGTTGCCGAGAAACGTCTCGAACGAGTCACTCGGCGGGATGATGCCCAGGGCGTACTCGAGCTCTTCATTGGATGCTGTGCTGGAGTCTAACGAGGGATGGCCGGGTGAGGAGGAGGGAGCTCCGGAGTCGACCTCCAACGGAAACCTCGGGGTCGACTTCGACTTCTTGAATCGAAGTTCGAATGCTCCGCCGACTCCTCACAACTGGACGGCCACTCCTCGCGCCATGGCCATGGAGGGCAGCGGTGACTTGGCCTTTCTCAGCAGGGGCATCCCAGAATCGATGGGCACGATGCATGCCGGGCAGCCTACGATAGAGCAGGTGAGGAGGAGATATGAGAGAGAGATATCTCGTTTTGCAGATGCCTGCTGCCCGTGTGTCTCGTGTTGTGATGTCGCTTCCTTGCTGTTTCGTGGCAGCTCACATGCGGGCAGGGGAATGGAGTGACGGGCAAGCGCATGCAGCGCACGCACTCGCACAACAATCTGGTGCGAGAGGCTGCGGTAACGACATGACTTGATGTGCTCTCTTGAGGTCTTGACTGTTTGCTCAGCACGGCAACCGAGGCATGCCTCGGCCTCCCAGCTACGAGAAGCTGAGCAGAGTTTGCCGGTCCGACTTCCCTCAACTGGTGGAGAGCCCACCTCAGGTAGCAGCTGGGAAGGTGGTGGGGTTGACTAACGACGAGTTGGGCAGCCTCGGAGGTATTGACGCTGCTAAGACAAGGCAGCAGAGGCTGTAGAGGCGTTGGAGGGAGGAAACTTGTATATTCGATCACCTGAATCAAGATAATGTTAATCAACCCCGCGGCGTTGACGGACCTCGCGGCATTCCTACGGGGATTTTACCTCTTGGGCTGGTTCTTGTTGTGTTAATAATGATAGCGATATTGATTGCTTCAGCGACCCACGTGATTGCAGTGAATGAAAGGCAAGTAAGAGAGCAGGAGATGCTTCTGAATAAAGTTTTGAGTGAACCATCAACTTCATTTCTCTTCGGGAATAAAAAAATTGGCAAGAACCATCCAACTTCTGAAAAAAGGTTTGAAAGAACCATCTTCTTCATTTCTTCGCCCTCACGCTCGTCGTCAAGTTCACTGCTGACTTCTTGTTCACGACGCTCATTTCAGCTAACTTCTTCAGCTGTCGATCTTCCATGAAGCCATGTCTGCCCCTCCCCTTCGCCACCATCTGCCGCTCAATCAGCTTCCTACCTGTCTCTTCCCAGCCTCTCCTCACCTGCTTCCGAAGTCTCGTCACCCACGAGCTCTTCTCCTGATTTGTCCTTGGTGCTCGTCAGCGACACGACAAGTCTCCCCTTCCCTCACCTCTCGATGTTCTTCACTTCCCATGCCACCAGCCCTCGCATCAGGTAGCCGTCCAGCCTTGTCCCTCCTGCCAGCAGCTGCGCCATCCCCTGGCTGCCGATGAGCCCGCGGGACACGTAGCCGTGAACGGCAGGCAGCGTCTCCTCCTCTTCCTCCTCCGCTCCTCTGCTTCCTCCTGCAGCTTGTCAGCTTCACAGCAGTGCGCGAGTCGGCACACCTGCGTCCTCCTTGTGCTCTCCGGCCTTGGATGAGCTCGCAGCCGCCTTGTCCTTGTCCCTCCCTCTTTGCTCTCGGATCCTCTTGAGATCGTGCGAGATGGCGGCGATCACGAGGGTCTTGGAGCTCTTGAGGTTGAAGGAGTTGCTGCTGGTAAGTTTCTTGGGCACAGGAGGAAAATCTCGCAGGTCCATCATGGGCGTCAGCGAGGCTGTCCGGAGCCTCCGCCTCATCGCGTTCGGCTGCTCCTCCAGCTCCTTCCTGATCGATCCGATCTTGTCCTCCGGCAGCCTCTTGGGCCTCTCCGTCTCCTCCTCCTCCCTCATCGTCGTTTCCTCCTCCCTCTCCGGCTCCTCCTCTGCCTGGCCTCCTGTCACGTCCTCGTCGTGGATCTCGACTTCGACTGTCGACGGTAGGCGCCTGCTCGCTCGCATTTGAGGAGCTTCTAGGATAATCTCCACCATCATGTCCTCCTCCTCCAGGTCGCGATCCTCGACTGACTCCTGTCGAGGGGAGAGCTCGACGGGCGAGAGAGCGTCCAGCGCCTTCCTTGACGTCGATCGGCGAGGAGAGCGGGAGGGCGAGCGGGTGAAGTAGGAGAGCGAAGGCGAGCGGGCGGGGGAGCGGGAGGGCGAGCGAGGAGGGGAGCGGGGAGAGGCACGAGAGGGAGTGCGGAGCGGAGAGCGAGGAGAGGATTGGGAGGGGGAGCGAGCAAACGACCGGGGGCTAGCCTGAGGCGTCCTCCTAGTTGGCGACTTCCTTCGGACAAGCTTCTTCTGCTGGGCAGGATGGGATGAGGAGGACGTTCTCAGCTTGCTGAGATGCCTCCGGGCAGCGGGCTCGGAGGCCTGGAGCAGGCGATCCTTGATGAGCTCCTCGTCGTGACTGCCCGACAGCGTGCGGAAGGCGGAGGTCACGAGGTCCCGCTGGAAGTTCTGAAAGATGCTCATGTCCTTGCCGCTAATGGACGACCTCCTCCTCGCATACGAGACCAGCGACTTCCTCCTTCCCTCGTCCCGCTCCATGGAGGACAGCTGCATTGCGATCTCCAGCCTCTCCTTGTTGATCTGCTCCGCCATCTCGGGCACGTCGGGGTCGCAGATCTCGTGAAGAGCCTCGGAGAGTTGCTGCATCATGCTCTGATCGAAGTCGTGCTGCAGGAAGTAGGCCAGGTACTGCTGCGCCTTGTGCTTGCGCACAAGGCTGAACTCCAGCTTCTCGGAGCACGCGTCTCGCTCCATCAGCACCCTCCTCGTCAGCAGCTTCGCGTCCTCCTGTGCATTTCGCAGCAGCTTCTGCGCGTTCTCATGCCTCAGTCGCCACTCGTTCAGAGTTCTCAGCGACTGCTCGTGCTCCTGCTGTCTCGCCTTCAGCTCAGCCTCCAACTTCGCCCTTGTCTCCTTCAAGTCGTTCTCGCAGACCTCAAGCTCGGCCTCGACTCTCCTCTTCTCCCCCCTCGCGTCGATCTTCGCCTTCTGTAAGTTGTACAACTTCTTCGCCTCGTCGACAGCCAGGCGTTTCCTCTTGTTTCTCAGCTTCTCGATGGAGGCGATCACTGCCGTCAACTTCGACTTGTTGCTCTTGTACGATCGTACAACCTTGTCGGTCGTCTCGTACTTTGATCTGAGCTCGGCGACTTGACCCTCCAGCCTCTGCCTGAGCGACTTCGCCGCCTGCTGGCGGTTGTGCTCGAGAAGCCTCTTGATGGTGACGTCATGATGGAAGGCGATGACCTCGTGCCCCATGCTGAGGTCAGTGAGGGACGAGCAGGCTCGCACAGCTCGGATCACAGTCTCAGCCTCCACCGCCTTCCCGTTGTTTCCCTGTATGTTGAGCTTCTCAAGCGACTTCGACTGCCACAGCCCTAGCAGAGGGAGTGGAGACCTGCTTCCCGCAGGTTGTTCCATGACACGTCAAGCTCGGTAAGGCTCTCGTTGGTCTTCAGCACGGAGGACAAGGCTGAGGCTCCCGCGTCGCCGATGCTGTTGAAGGACAAGTCGACATGCTGGATCGATCGGTTGCTGGCGAGGACGCGAGAGAGGTGGAGGAGACCCTTGTCGCCGATCTCGTTCTTGGAGAGGTCGGTCATGGTCAGAGAGCGAGGATACCGCAAGATGCCTTCTACCTCCTGCAAGCTCGTCAGACCCACCAACTGCTCTGCCTCTTCCTCCCTCCCTCTCCTCCCTCCTCCCTTCCCCTCCTCCCTCTCCTCCTTCCTTACCACATCGCACTTGGTGTGCGTCACCTCGAACTTGCAGACCCAGAAGTCTTCCAGCGGCTTCATGTCCGACGACTGCAGGGAGCAGGAGCGCAGCTTGAGGGCAGTCAGCACTGTGTTCTTGTAGCTCAGAATGTCTGCAAAGGCCCTGCAGCCTCCGTAGCCAACCGCGTTCCCTGACAGGTCGAGAGTCGTGATGCCGGGCTTTCCCAGCTCGATGGCGTACGCGATTTTCTCAGCTCCGCTGGAGGCGATCGAGTTGCGGCAGAGGGAGAGCTCGGAGAGGTGGAGGAGGGAGAGAGACTGGGCAAGGGAGGTAGCCCCCTCGTCATGGATCATGTTGTCCGACAGGTCCAGCTGGGTGAGGTACAAGTTCCTCCCGAGCCCTCTGCTGAGGCTGCTCATCATGCCGGGTGACAGCCGGTTGGCAGAGAGGCTGAGGCGAGCAAGGGACGTGTTTCTCCTGAGCGCCTCCGCGAGCGCCAGGCATCCTTCGTCCCCGCACACGTTCTTGCCAGCTCCGCAACAGCCTAGGTCGAGGGAAGAGAGGGAGGTGTTCTTGCCCTTTAGAGCGTCGAAGATGGCGCGCTGTCCTGGTGGGCCTATGCTGGAGCCCTGCAGGACGAGAGTCTTGAGGGTTCTGTTGCTCGCAAGAAACTCGCCGATCAAGGTCCCCCCCTCGTCTCCGATCTTGTTGCAGCTCAAGTCAAGCTTGTCGAGCTGGCAGAGCCGATTGTTGAGCCCGTTCAAGAGGATCGCGAGCGAGCCGGGGAGGATGCCGAACTCTCGCAGCACGAACGTCTCCTGCGAGCAGCTCCTGGCGATCTTAACGAGGAAGCTCTCAACGGGCTCGTGCATGCTGCTCTCCTTCCCTCCCCTCCTGTGCTTGTAGACCTCCACGAAAGTCGAGGGCGGGACCCCCGACAGGTGGGAGGTGCAGGGCTGCAGGAACCTCAGGGTCGGAGGACGAGGAGCGAAAGTCGCGTTCACTTGTGCCGCCTGCTGGTACATCTCAACGCGACCCTGCGAATCTCCTGCACCCCCTGCTCGCTCTCTGACTGGAAACGTCAGGCGCCACCACTCGGGGAGCTTGAAGGGGGAGGGCAGGTCATCAACGTTCTTCTTGCCGCTCCTCCAGTCCTCCTCCTCCTTCACCTCCTTGCGCTTCGACCTCAACTCCTCCAGCACCACCTCATGCCCCTTGTAGCTCTTGCGCAGCTGGAGGGAGCTCTCGCTCGAGATGGAGGTCCGTTGGCGGGTCAGGTGAGGCTTGTCCTTGGTGCTGACGTCATCGTCCCTGAGGAGGCTGGGGTACCGCTCGAGGAGCCTCTCGTACCTCTCCTCCTCCTTGAAGCTCAAGTTGACCCGCGGAGACTCGCGAGGGCTCAAGGAGAGGTCAGGAGGTTTGAAGTAGAGCGATGAGATGGCTCGCGAGACTGCGAGCGGAGAGACATCATCAGACTGGTTCACCTTGAGCACCACGCAAGGGTACATGAGCCGCTCATCTTGCCTCACTCGCTTCAGTCGCCTTTCCAGCTCCTCCAGCCTCGCCCCTGGTCTCCTCACTCCCTCCTTCATCTCTTCCACCATCTCCTCCTCCTCCTCCTCCTCCTCCTCCTCCTCCTCCCCTGAGGACGGCAAACCTGCATCATACCCTCCATCTCCCTCAGACGTCAGGAGGACGGACGGGGCTGACGCTGGCAGGTTGGCACAGTTGATGATGTCAAGGATGAAGCGAACGTGGAAGTCTGCATGCTCCCGCATCTTCACTGGCGCTGACGGCGGCGACGAGACGAAGAGGACGAGGACGTTCATCTGCCGGGCTAGCAGGAGGTCTTCGCTCCAGTAGGAGTTGAGGCTGTTCTGATAGACTTTGACTTGCTTCCTTGAGTTGTAGCCCCTAGCCACCGCCTGAATCTTCAGAGCCGAGGACTCCATGACCTTCGCGAGCTTCCTTGCGTCCTCCTCGATCTGCCTTTGGAAGGCAGCGTCTTCGTCGTCCTCCTCCATGTCCTCGAAGACGTCATGGGTGCTGTCCGATGTCCTTCCAGAAAAGAAGCTGTCTGTCGACAGCCTGCGGTTCTTCTGCTTGTCATGGGGAGAGACGCTTTTCCTCTCTTCCGCTGTCTTCTTCGGAGAGCTGCTGTTAACCTCAACGCTCATGGGATGATTCTGACGTGAAGCGACGAGAGGTGTTGGCTTCTTGCGATCCTTCTTGTCGGTGTCTGCATGGAACCCGACGTGAGGAGCAGCGATGGACGATCGTCGCCTGAGCTGACCGTAGATGTCATGCTCTCCCCTCCTGCGATCTCTGATCAACTTCTTCTTGGCTGCCAAGAGCTCCTTCCTGGCAGCCTCCTCCTCAGCCTTCTTCTTGTGCTCAGCGCTGACTTTATCGATGTACTCGGCTACCCTGCTGGAGGCGACGAACATGGCGTCCTCTCGCTCCGAGTCCTCGACGATGGAGTCAAGGGCCTCTTCGAAGACAAGATTGAGATGCGGAGAGGCAGCGCAGAGCTGTTCAATCATCACGATCGGATCCCCCATGTTGACCTCGGGGGGGATGTAGATTCCAGCTTCTGTACAGACCTCCTTCAGTCGTTGACACTCTCTCATCTGATACAGAGCCTGCACGTTAGCTGCCCACTCGTGAAGCCGCTCTCGCTTGAACCTCCTCCTCTCCTTCTCCTTCTGTACCTCCAGCTGTTTCCACTTCCTCCCCTCGTTGTAGTGCTTCCTATGCTGCACCGTATCCTCGAAACACGTGCCTTTGGCGTTGTTGTAGACGCAGAACGAGACTTCGTTGGCAGGCAGGCGCGTTTTGAGTACTTCGATGCCTCCTGATCCGACCTCCTCCACACTCAGAATCCTCTCGTCTCGTATCATTTCCTTCTGCCCATCTTTGGTCGACGTCGTGCCTCCCCCTCGTTTCACCACATACCCGAAGATGATCCAAGACACATCGCTCGTCTCATCGAACATCCAGTTGATCATCTCAACCGCATCCTCCAGGTCCTCCAGCCGCACGTTGACTCGACTCGCTTGCGTCATGGTTGTTGTCTACCCTGCCGCCGTTCACTCTCGTGTTCGCTTCCGCTTGCCTCCCCCTTCCGCTTGCGAATCTTCTCCTCCTCTCCGTCCTCTCCTTCCTCCTTTCCCCTTCCTCCTCCCTCCCTCCTCCTCCTCCCCCTCGCCTGAGTCTTCAGGCGCCGTCATAGCTACCATTATCAACGGATGGGCACCACCCCAGGAGCGAGACCACCCCCATTTACAGTGGAGATAGATGGGGTCTCTTAAGACGACACAAATCGGAAGATGAGTCCTCAAATAGTAGGACGAATGGTAGGCCACCCAAACGACGAGACAACATAACTATGACTTCATTCATACGGCAAATTTCTTATGATGCCAGGACAACATACAAACATGAAGAGCAAGGAACTTGGAAGGAGGGATATGATGAGGAAGTGAGTGAGTGAGTGAGTGAGTGAGTGAGTGAGGGAGGGAGGGAGTCAGAGATGAAGATCAAGATGGAGAGGGGGGAAAGGAAGATAGCAGCAGGGCAGGAGGAGCAATCAAAACATGCGCATGCTGTCATCTGCTGTGGCAGAGATTCGAGCAGTTTCCGTAGCAGGGCATTGAAGTCAAGCTGACAGCTGGGCGGTGATCGCGACATCGGGTCAGGGGAGTGTAGGGGACGGAGAGAGACCTCAGGTCCTCGTGCACGCGATACCCTAGGCTGCTCTCCAGCTCAGGGTCCAGCCAGGCAGACATGAGCTTGAGGATGTTGCGGTTGAAGGCTCGAGCGAAGTGACCTTGAGTGTAGTAGTTCCTCTTGGCAGAAGTCAGGTTGGACGTCCACTCATAGCCTCTGTGCTGCTGAGGACACGAGAACTTGCCGAACATCATCATGCACTGCGACAGCTGCCACTCCGGATGACTGGGCTTGAGGTCGAACTCGTCTCTGAGCTCGTTGAGAACAGCGTGAGGGTCGATGAAGAAGTCGCGGCAGGCGACATGCGAGCTGAAGTCTATGTGTTGGTCTGCCACCTGGAACCAGTCGCGGAGCTTCGCCGCCCGCATGGCAAGGATGTTGGGGAACCTCCCGCCCGTGTCCGCGTCTCTGTCCTCCAACTTCTCGCTGCTGGCGAGCGGAGGCTTGAAGAGATGAGCGAACAGATACTCCCGGATCTGTCGCGACGCGCTCAGCAGCCGATTCATCACCTCCGTCCACAGATGCGGGGCTGCCACCCACCAGCGAGTCGTGTTGACGTGGCACATGAATCGCCCCCCCGAGCACTTGCCCCACGACGAGTCTCCGTCATGACAAGACTTGGCCGGCGGCAGTTCGTCCCCGCTGCTCACAATGTACCAGCGGAAAGAGATGCAAGTGAGCTGGGAAAGGTCGCTGCTGAGCTTCGGGTGGTCGGGAACGAAGATCCCTCGAGGACGGAGAGCGCTGTTGAGGATGTAGTCAGATACGTTTCTCCTCCATGAGCCCAGGTCCTTGTGCTGCAGCCAACGAGGGTCCAGGTCCCTGCAGAGGAAGCTGTCACCGCAGGCTGCGTGGCTCTTGGGACCTGGGAAGCAGCTGGGGTGAGGGGAGTGTGTGCTGTTCACGATCCATGGCACGTCCGCCTTGAGTCCTGGCAGCTCCACACATCGGAAGCTCTTGCCGCCTGACAAGCAGGTCTCGTTGTTGTGCAGGCGGATGTCGTCGTGGCAGTTGAGGCCGCGCCTGGCCGCTCTGAGCTCGTTGAGCTCGTAACCGGCGAATACCCGGTCGAAGGCATCGTCGAACGTGATCCACTCGCGGGAGAGGAAGGTGGACATGTTGAGTCCCTTGTGGATCTCAGCGTAGAAGGGATGGCGGTGCATCGAGTCGATCCACTCGTAGGGGCTCCTCGTTACCAGCAGGTTCAGGGTCCTCGACTGGTCCCTGAGGTCTGCCAGCAGCGTCACGAGACAGGCGGTGGAAACTATCACTTACCCGCGTTGCGCATGAAGCCATGCTTCCAAGGGAGGCCTCCGATGACGCAGGTGGAGGGAGCGGAGCTGCTGCAGTTCATATTGAAGTTCTCTCGGAGAAGGGAGGTGATGAGTGTAGTGCAGCTGTTTCGCTCCCCCCATACCCAGATCTTGTGGATCTTTGACGGGTCGCTTCCTTTCTTCTTCCTTTTCCCTCTCCAGTACTGCCCCCCCCGCCTCTTGAACCGCTCCCGGTCCCACAGAACATACTCCCTCCCCGTCCCTTCCACACTGTCCGGAAGCAGCTCGCGCACGTACGTTGCGACAGGTTTCTGGAGGTGGTAGAGCAGATGGTGAGCGGGATAGTCGAACACCTCCTGGGCAAACTTGAACTCCAAGCTGACGGTCTCGGGCCTCAGGATCGAGTTCTCTCCGTGGGCCCGGGGTGCGTCAGTTACAACGACTGGGACGTCCGGCTCAAGGGGAGGAAGTTCAGGCTCAACATGGTGATGAGCCTCGACGGCATGAAGAGAAGATGAGTTGACTGCTGCAGAGATGTTCGCATGCTGCCCCACATGCTGTTCTTTCCTCTCCGCATGCTGTTCTTTCCTCTCCACATGCTGTTCTTTCCTCTCCGCATGCTGTTCTTTCCTCTCCTCATGCTGTTCTTTCCTCTCTACATGCTGTTCTTTCCTCTCCTCATGCTGTTCTTTCCTCTCTACATGCTGTTCTTTCCTCTCCACATGCTGTTCTTTCCTCTCCGCATGCTCATCCATCCTCATGTGTTGCTCCTCCTTTGGATGCTCTTCTTTCCTCTCTGCATTCTCCTCCTTCCTCCCGCCATGCTCCTTCTTGTCCGCACGTTGCTCCTCCTTCTTGTCCGCACGTTGTCGGTTGCTTCGATGCTCTTCCGCCGGTTTCCCTGAATGCTCCTCCATCCCGACATGCTGCTCCTTCTTTTCAGCATGCTCTTCCTTCTCCCCCCCATGCTCTTCCTTCTTCTCCTCCCTCGGATGCTCCTCCACCTTCTTCTCCGCCTGCTTGTTCATCGCGGGATGAGCCTCTTCAGGCGTCATACTTGGCTGTGCCATTCGAGCTGCCGTGTCCGCTCCTGTCGCGAGGGCTGGAGAGAGCAGCGAGCGATTCTGAGGTGCAGCATGTCGAGAGAACGAGAGAGACACGTTGGCGAAGCGCATGGGGAGAGAGCGAGGAACCTGCTGGTCCAGCTGTTGCTCGAGCTGCTGGAGGTCGTCACCACTCGTGATGTAGATATATTTGTACTGTACAGACTTGACTGGTTTCTTGTTCATGCAGGCCGTCCCGAGGAGGAGGACAATGAGGACTTGCATGGACAGCAGCACGAAGGAAAAGAAGTAGTACGGCTTCCACTTCATCGCGCAAGGAAACGAGAGCTCCTTTCAGATGAGAGAGACTGGTCGACTTCCGTTCTTATCGCTTCTGCTTCATGGAAACGGAGTGACTGGTGAATTGCAGAGGGGAGCCGAGCAACGAAGAAGGGGACACGAAAGAGGGAGAGGGAGAAGGACAAGGAGGAGGAGAGAGGGAGAGGGAGGAGGAGAAGAGAGGGAGAGGGAGGAGTAGGAGAGAGGGAGAGGGCGGAGGAGGAGCGCATCAGAGTCGTTCATGGCTCTCCCCTTCTGAAGTCGCTCTTCTTCGTCATCCGATGATGCGACAGGGCAGCTCTGTTCAGCTCGGAGGGTTGAGAACATTTGATTGCTGCCATTCCCTTTTCACTATTACTGATTCTGAGGCAGACATTATAGAATGAGCGGCCTGCCGGCCCGGGCCCGGCCCGGCGGCCCGGCGGTCCGACTGGCCTGAGCCTTTTTTCACAGCCTGGCAGCGGGAAGCCTAAGTTAGTAGCGATCGGACTCCAGTGCCGTGGGGGCCGCTGGCCGGACTCGACGGGAGTGTGAGGGAGTACGAATTTGTTAGACTAAGTTATACCGTATCATGCCCGCGGCCCTAGGATGCGCGGCAGTCTTGGGTTACTAAGTTAGGTACGGTCCCGAAGTCGGTTGAAGGGTTTCTTAGCTCTGTGCTATGACTATCTGTCATCAGTGGCCCGATCGCAGCATTCCGGGCAGTGACGAGCCGGGCGGGCGGAAGCTGGTCGGATAGTAGTACGGTATTCAGGGCAAGTTCAAAGAAAGGATCATGTTTAGAATACAGTGAAGAAGTTGGGCTAGGGGCTAGTCGGAGAAGCCCCAGACCTCGAGGAAAACGCACTCGAACTGATTGGAGGAGGCCAGACCCGGAGAGTCGAACGTCTCG